GTTACAGAGGGACATAGATAAGCTGCAGAGCTGGGCTGAGAGGTGGCAAATGGAGTTTAATGCGGAAAAGTGTGAGGTGATTCACTTTGGAAGGAGTAACAGGAATACAGAGTACTGGGCTAATGGTAAGATTCTTGGTAGTGTGGATGAGCAGAAAGATCTCGGTGTCCATGTGCATAGATCACTGAAAGTTGCCACCCAGGTTGATAGCGTTGTTAAGAAGGCGTACAGTATGTTAGGTTTTATTGGTAGAGGGATTGAGTTTCGGAGCCATGAGGTCATGTTGCAGCTGTACAAAACTCTGGTGCGGCCGCACTTGGAGTATTGCGTACAGTTCTGGTCACCGCATTATAGGAAGGATGTGGAAGCATTGGAAAGGGTGCAGAGGAGATTTACCAGGATGTTGCCTGGTATGGAGGGAAGGTCTTATGAGGAAAGGCTGAGGGTTTTGAGGCTGTTTTCGTTAGAGAGAAGAAGGTTAAGAGGTGACTTGATAGAGACATACAAGATGATCAGAGGATTAGATAGGGTGGACAGTGGGAGCCTTTTTCCTCGGATGGTGATGGCTAGCACGAGGGGACATAGCTTTAAATTGAGGGGTGATAGATATAGGACAGATGTCAGAGGTAGGTTCTTTACTCAGAGAGTAGTAAGGGCGTGGAATGCCCTGCCTGCAAAAATAGTAGACTTGCCAACTTTAAGGGCATTTAAATGGTCATTGGATAAACATATGGATGATAATGGAATAGTTTAGGTTAGATGGACTTCAGATTGGTTTCACAGGTCGGCGCAACATCGAGGGCCGAAGGGCCTGTACTGCGCTGTAATGTTCTATGTTCTATGTTCTACAACAATTATGAGAGCATTTTTGTTTAGCAATGGTGTAATCTGAATTCTATCAGTATAGGTATTCTGATACAATTAATACCCATGTTTCATATCTGTGTGTACTTGACTGTTCAGCCAAATAGGCAACCATTTACCAAAACTTGTTGGAAGAGTGTCAAGATGTTTAATATACATCTAACTTTCTACTTTTACATTTATCTTAACTAAGGTCAAAATAAAATGTTTTTCTAGAAGAGTATTCAGACATAAAATATAGTTGTTTTCTGAATACAATTGGGTAATTCTTGCAGCAAAATTATTGCATCTTACCCACCTTGAACAAAGCAGTGCATGCTCGTGATCTGTTTTTATCTTCTGCTAAAGTGATATGTATGTTTACATGTATGGTCAGCCCTGATTCCACTCTGAACCTTTGTGTTATTTGTCTGTCATGCGTTTCCCAGGTAATACTGCACTTGGAATAGAGACAAAGTCATCAAAGCTGTACTCCACTGGGCCCCACTAAGGAATAATAACTGCTGAAAATGTACAGAAATTTATGGCACAGAAGGATTCCAATTATCTCTTAATACTTGTAACATTTCCCTAGAAAATCTATATACTGTGAGCCATATCCATAACCTTTTATTTTCTCAACTATTCCTCCACTTGTTTTAAACAGCAACTATCAATTGTTTTTCACTTGGACATGGAATTTACTAAAGCACTCTACATTTGAAAACCAAGATCTTAATGTTGCTATGTATTCTTTTTGATAATTGTTTTGCCCAGTAGTTACTAACTCACCGTGCAGTGGAAATACTCTCTCATTTGCCTGACTAAAGTCTCAGTTTCCTTTAAATTCATTCATGGAATGTGGATAAAGCTTGAGACCACCATCTTTTAATTCATCCTTAATTAGCCTTGAAGGTGGTGGAGAGTTGTCTTCTTGAAACACTGAAGCCTATGTGGTTATAGGTACACCCACTACTGTTAGGTAGTACGTTCAAGGCTGAACGATCCAGTGACCATGAAGGAGCAGCAATATTGTATGATCTGTGACTTGAAGGAAGCTCTGCAGGATATAGTATTGCCACCTACATGTGGTCCTTATTCTTCTAAGCGGTATGGGTTGCAAGATGATGCTATCAAAGGAATTTCCAAAATATACATCAAATTTACTTTTAAGTAATAAGGATAATAGAAACCCCAATTTCTGTGGTTTCCCCTAATTAATGCACTTGCATGATATAACAGTTAATCTTTCTCTGATTTTATCTCTTTGCCCCGCTGTAATGTGCACAAAAAGAATATACTTTGCTGACCCAGGTATCAGTCTAATCAGTGAATATATTTAGTTCACAATTCTGTGCAGTAAATGTTATAAGTCCTATCTGTCCAATCAACTAGAATATATCTCTGGTCTTTAAATCCCTTCATAGTTCACATTACTTTTATCTGTAAGTTTTGATGTAATATCCCCTATACTTAAAATTCGTGACCATATATATTGAAGATAGGTAAAGTTGCCAGAGTCCTAGAGGACCATAGGGCTGTTGTCTCATCAGAGGGAGACAACTGTTGGGTTTATTTCTTTATTCATTCACAGGATGAGCGTGTTGCTGGCTAGGCAGCGTTTATTGCCCATCCCTAATTGCCCAGAGGGCAGTTAAGAGTCAACCACATTGCTGCCATCTGAAGTCACATGTAGGCCAGACCAGATAAGGATGGCAGTTTCCTTCCCTAAAGGATATTAGTGAACCAGATGGGTTTTTCTGACAATCTATTCAGTCATCATTAGATTCCTAATTCCTTATATTTATTGAATTCAAATTCCACCATCTGTCGTGGCGAGATTTGAACCTGGGTGCCTAGAACACTATCTGCGTCTCTGGATTAACAGTCCAGCGATAATACCATTAGGCCATCACCTCCCTGGTTTAGTCTGAGGGCACTACACTTAAGATTAAGAAGTTGGGATTTTTGAATATTTATTCGTGGGTTATTGGCATCACTGGTTGGTCAGCATTTATTGCGTGCCTTGACTTGCCCTTCAAAAGATGGTTGTGTGTTGCCTTTTTGAACTGCTTGTAGTCCATATGCTGTAGGTTGGTCCACAATGCTGTTAGGGAGGGAATTCCAGGATTTTGACCCAGAGACAGTGAATGAACAGCAGTATATTTCCAAATCTTGTGGATGTGGTACGAATAAAACAGGCTGTCCTAAATGGAGTCTAGCATATTGAGTTGGAGCTGCACCCGTCCAGGCAAGTGGGGAATATTCCATCACACTCCTGACTTGTGCCTTCTAGATAATGTGCAGGCTTTGGGAAATCAGGAGGTGAATTACTTGCCGCAGTGTTCCTAGCCTCTGACCTGCTATTGTAGCAGGTTTATATGGCGAGTTTCTGGTCCATGCTAATCCTCCCAAGATGTTGATAGTGGAGGATTCAGTGATGGTAACACCATTAAATGTCAAGGGGTGCTGGCTATTCGAGATGGTCATTGCTTGCCATTTGTGTGATGCAAATGTTACTTTCTTCACGGTAACCCCAGCTAGTCCTGCAATTGAACCATGCTATTGGCATCACGCCGCATTGCAAACCAGCCATTCAGCTCGCTGTGCTAACTGACCCCCAGTATTTGTCCAACACCAAGTCCTGAAGTACCCAGTTATTCATCCTCTCCGGTCTGATAGAAAACCAAGATAATGATCAATAGATGTTTATCATGTATCTTTCCAGATCCCTGCTACAGTGTTATCCAAGTATCTTAACAAACTCCCTTTTAAAAACCTATATGCACATATACACTGAATTTCATCGATCAGTATATTCCATTATTTCCTCGGCGAGCTCTGGAAACCTTGTAGAATAGGTTTGACTTGTGCAAATCTGAGTACACTGCTCTTAACTAAACCTTAAAAGGAAAAATTTATCCTGCATCTAGTATAAATGCATAGGTTAAATTAGCTTGCATATTGTTATCTCGTTTATCCAATTCCATTTGTTGAGCGGAAGTGTTAAATTAACAATCCTCCAGTCTTCCAACGCAAGTTGCATGGGTAAATATTTTGTGAATGGTATTGTATTATGGACAAATCATGGAATATTGCCTATATTCTATAGTCAATAGTTACATGCTCCTCTTTAAAATAGTTGCCTCTGAATAGGTCTCTGATTTAAATATAAGAATAATACACTTAAAATTATTTTCTGGTACATGTGACCCTGTGTGCAATTGTTGACTAATTCTGACTTTATTATTTTCTTTTAAGGATAGTTCTTATCTGCGCTAAAAGGTCATTGTGCTCGGCTTTTTCTGTCCTGCCTTATGGAGAATTCCACAGTACTGGGTAAGAATATTTTGTTTTCAACTGAATTCAAATATTACAATTTTCTTTTGTACTGGATAGAATCATCAGTTTTTTTTTCTGACACTTCACTTTATGCAAGTGAAACTCAGTTCATTTCAAAGGTCCTTTTACACTACATCTAGTCAAGATACTGAATAGGATGCTCCAACCGGAGCTCCTCGGCTCCATCTGTTTCCTTCTCCTTTTTTTCCTTTCTCTTTCACCCTTTGGTCTCTCAGTGGCTCTCAGCCTGGCCTCTTGCTGGTATGTTGCTTGTCCTTTGGCAGCTCGTGGCGCTGACTCGACATGCGAGTGGATCCTGCCTGGGCAAGTTCCCATAGCACCAGGGGAGATCAGAGAGGCAGCAGTTTCTTCGGCGGTAGCGTGAAATAAGCAGAGGACACATCAAAGACTGTTGAATTTTTAACGCATTCCTTTATTTTCCTCATTTAAACTGCGAAAGACTTTAATGTAAAATATTACCTATTTCTTTATTTTTCTACTATGCCATGAAGTACTGATTAACTTTTTTAACTCCTTGTTTCTCCTACTACTTTGTACCTAAGCTATGTTTTTGTACTTGGGTGCCTTGGTACCTAAGATGGCGCCATGTGTGGTGACATTATACACTTTTCACTGTAGTCATGTACTTGAGTACACGTGACAATAAAATCTAAAATCTAAATCTAAATCAACATAGCATCAGTTGAAAGCAATTTTGTTTTGCCCTGAAACTCATTGTGTGTATATATAACCAGAATCCTGACTCTGAGCCAAGCTGAGGCCAGAAAACAGCCACAAGTTTCGGATGAAGTAATGTTGTTTTGCTTCTTATTATTACTTAATTCACACTGAGTAAGGTCCAATGAGGTTGAAACCACTTTGCAGCACCACCACCAGAAACAACAAAAAATTGCATTTTTAAATCCCCTTTAATAAAGTAAAACATTCAAATGATATTTTGCAGATCCTTTAACAAAAGAATGTTTGACACAGACTACATAAGGAAATATTAGTAGTGACCCAAAAACCTTGTCAAAGAGTTGGTTAACGAATGTCTTAAAAGGATAAAAAGTATTGGCGAGGATTCTGGAAAATAGGACCTTTGGTAGCTGAAGGTGCAGCCACCACTGGTGGTTAAAATTGGGAGTGTTCAGGGAACAAAATTGAAAGGAAACGTTGTAACTCTGCTGGAGATTAGAAATGTGGAAGGAAGTTGTTTAAAGGTAGGAATGACTATTTTAAATTCAAGGGTTGCTGATCTAGAAGACAACATCAGTCAACAAATACCAGGTATTGACTTAATGTAAGATAGTACATGGACAGCAGAGTTTTAGATAACCTGAAGTTTACAGAGTAAGAGTGTGGGAGATGAGCCAGGGTTGAAGTAAACAAGTCTAGAGAGAGCAAAGGTATGGATAAACATATCAATGGCAGATAACTAAGGTAGGCACAGAGGTGAAAATAGGTGATCTTCGAGATGGTGCAGGTATGCGATCAGAAATTCATTGGTTCAAATACAACTCCAAGGCTGGGAAGCATCTAATTCATCACACAGTTGCAGTGTTTTCATTCATGGGATGTGGACATCATGGCAAAAAATGCTGGCCCTGCCAGTCCCTAATGCCTTTGCAAATGTGCTGGTAAATGGCTTTAGTTCCTAAGGTAAATGTTTACCATTGTGTTGTTACATAGGAAATTTCATGAATTTGACTGAAAGGAAGTTGTGGTATGTTTCCAAGATAAAATAATATTTGACTTGGAGGGTAGTTTACTAATGGCAGTGTTCTTATGTTAATCTGTTAGAGTTAGTGGTTAGGGAGCGGTCTTCCCAATATTAGTCGGACAGACTTTCTGCTCATGGAATACTAGACATCTGACAAGCAAACTAGCAAATTTGTTCGCCATGGCGAGGCAAAATGGTAATGAAAGCTGTGTGTTGTCAGTGTCTGTTGCCTCTCCTGTCGGTAGTGTGCTTATATGGAATAAACCCTTCAAAATTTCAGAATTCCAAATTGACAGTGGTTGTTCAGACATGTTATGGTGAACCTCTGGAGTAGGTGAGACTTGACTCCAGGTCTCTTTGACCCCAGAGCAGGCGTACAACCACTGTGCCACAACACATTCGAAAGGAAAGTTCAGTTTCTTTAATCAACATGTTCAGACACTTCTGTCAAGTCTAGAGCAGTTTAGAAGTCTAGAACTTCAGCCTAAGCCTTCTAGCTCAGAATTAGGGACGCTATCACTGTGCTACAAGAGCCCTCTCAAAAGGAACATTCAGATGTTATAACGTACCTCTAGAGCAGGTGGGACTTGAACTCAGGACCACCTAACTCAGGTGTAGACACAATCACTGTGCCACAAGAGCCAGCAGGAACATTCAAATTGTTTTAAATCTAGTTAGTTTCTCATAGAGGTGCACATTGCAGTGCAGTGGGACCATGTCATGACTGCATGGTTATTTTAGAACCAATTTGTGCAGAGATGTTAGTACAGACCTCTCACAAGTGAGACTTGAACCTGGTTCACCTGGCTCAGATGTAGGGACGTTACCACTGTACCACATGTGCCCCTCGCAAAGGGCATTCATTTGTGGTCGGATTTGAACCCATAACTTCAGAACACTAGACTGAACCTCTTGATTTCTGGTCCAGTGACATTGCCAGTAAGGTTGCATTTAAATGAACATTCACATTTTCTAATCAACCTGTTCAGTTTGGCTATGACACAATTCTGGAGCAGGTCAGACTTTACCCCACTTCTCCAGCTCAGAGGTAGGGACACTAGATTTTGTCCTCCTAGAGTCCTTTAAAAGGAACTCTTTTTTTTTTCTTATCTAATTGGCCTGTTCAGGCATATTATTATACACCTCTGGAACAGCTGGGACTTGAACCCAGGCCTCCTGGCTCAGTAGTAGGACGACAAGAGCCCCAAAAAGCAACATTTAGATGTTTCATAGTCACCTGTGCAAGACAAGAACCCTAAAAAGGAACATGCATTTTTTTTTATATCCAGAAGTACACTCATAGCCAACTGAATGGGTTTTATAATCACCATATCACCTATGGTTTTTTTTCATCTATTAACCACCTCCCAGTAAATCAGCCCTGGTTTCCAATTGACTAATTTACATGCAAAGCCTGTTAAGGCTATGCAGACCATCCAAGGTGAGGGAGATAAATCAGAATGGAGTTGGAAGGGGTAAAAGAACATTCAGATATTTTGATTTGATCTGTTGAGGTGAGACAACTTTGGAGCAGCAAAGTCTTGAACTTATACTTTCTAGATCAGAGGTAATAACATTACCACTGTGCCACAAGACCCCTTTGGGTAAAGAAACATTCTTTTTTCTAAATTAACCTATTTTTCTAAGCAAACTGTTCAGAAATGTTATTACACACCTGAAGCAGGTGGGACTTGAACCCGACTCTCTCAGCCCAGGGTTAGGGACAGTATCACTGCATCGCAAGAGTTCGTCCCTAAAGGAACATTCATTTGTAGTTGTTTAAATTGAGCAATCTGTTTCTAATCCATGAAGATGAGTGTGTAGTCATTGGCAGACCAATTCAAACTTGTATAAAGAGGGACCAGACTATTGATTTGAATATTGAAAGCATTGTGTGTTTGTTCACTATTACAGTCAACATTCTTTGGCAATTAGAAAATTACTGATGACTAGTTTAAAAGTATTCCATTTATAGCTTCATCAATAGCTTGTCTTCAATTTATACTTTCTCATCCTGAACTACAATAATTCTTCATTTTGAAGGCTAGTTATCTTGTGTCAATTATTTTAACCTTAGAAAATTGCTTAATTTATTTTAATGCGTACACCGTATAAGTGTGTTTCATTGTCTGTCCTCGTACTTTGATTTCTAAATGCAGTCTATCTTTACCACTGTGCAGGATTGACTCAACTGAGAGTAGCACATTGTTTGCACACACATTGCAGCTAAATAGTAGATGCTTAGCATCTAGATTTTCACAACAATTTCATCTGTTTGTTCTGACCAAAAGTCTCAAGAATTGTTTTTCAGCACCTGCAGGGTGCATGTGGCATAATAAGTTCTGTGCTAGCTGAAATTGTAACCCTCAATACAGTGTGGAGTTGGAGGAACACAGCAAGTCAGGCAGCATCAGAGGAGCAGAAAAGTCGAAGCTTTGGGTTCGGACCCTTCATCCTGATGAAGGATGTAAACCTGAAACATGACTTTCCTACTCCTCTGCTGCCTGACCTGCTGTGTTCCTCCAGCTCCACTCTGTATGAATCTGCAGTTCTTGCTATCTCCTAGAAATTATATCCCTAACTGCTTCAGATGCTGTTACACAGGAAGCAACAAGAACTACAAATCAATTAAATAAAATGAAGAACTGTGGCCACTGGACATCTAACAAGCAGAAATTGCTAGAGAAACTCCGTAGGTTTGGCAGCATCTGCGATAAGAAAGTAGAGTTAGCACTTCCACTCTGGTGACTCTTCATGAGTTCTGATGAAGAGTCACTGGACTCAATTAACACTGCTTTCTTCCCGCAGATTCTGCCAGACCCAAGTTTCTCCAGCAACTCCTTGTCTTGTTTACGGTAATCAGTGTTTTCTTTTAGCTTTTCTACTATAATGTGTTAAATGCTGAAAATATTTTGCAAGTGATGAGATCTTTGGTCATCTTTATGTAAATTAAAGTTTTATATGTTCATACTTTTATTAGTAATCGTTATATACTTGGAAGAGGTGGGGAGGAGATGCATTCAATAATAGTCTGCTGTTGTCTTCCTTTCCATAATTAATGGGGCCACTATGATGGGAACGGATGCTTTGAAAAGGAAACTGCTGTGAGCATTCTGCAAAGGACAGAAAGGAAAATTAAAGCTGGCAGTTTCATTGGAAAATTGTATATTGTTTTCTTGCATTATCATGAAATCCTATTTCATTCTGAACTTGGAAAATTTATTTTGGTGGACTGGATCTGGCATTTGCAAATTGACCATATTGTTAGTTTGATTATTTTCTCAATATGTTTTATTGTTCTTTGTGAAAGCATTTCCTGTTGATGTGCAGCTTTGATTTCTGACTGATTTGTAAAGGGAGCAAGTTCCTTTTATTGTGTATTTTTGTAGCTGGTGTATGTTTAGACCACTCCTTCCGTATTATGTATATCTTCAGTGTATTTTAACTACTGCAAGATTTGGATTTGACATTGTTTTCACAGAGACAACAAGATGGAAGGACCCAGGCAACGTAACCCTTCTGGTGGCATTTCAGCTTCAACAGACATGCTGCTTGGACTTGATGGAGTCGAATTTGGTGCAGACGTAAAGGTAAAAATTATCTGAATTGTATAATATATTGTGATGTGAACTTTTTAGCGTAGTGATTGTATTTCTGGAATGTGTCTATGGCAGCAAAACAATATATTGTGGGTGATTGTGGATTGTACTTATCTGAATAACCTTATCTTTGTAACTTTTACAATAACGTTTGTGCAAAATCTAACTAACTTGATGTAGTTTCCTTGTTAATTATTCTAGAATGAGCTCTACTGAAAGTTGTCTGTAAGAAATAAGTTAGGGTGCAGAATATTGACTTGTTTGAGACCCTTCAACGCTACTATGTTTGTCTAAATTCAACAATAAAAATATTTCCCTATATATAAACAATAACCCAAAGAATATTTGTTTTTCATTTTGTCTTGTCATTAAAAGTTAATTGTTTTAATCTAATGGCTGCCAAATCGTGAGGGTTCCAGAAAGAATAGTTGGGAGAAAAACTTTGTTTTTCACTAACTTATAAATTGCGACTGCAAATCACATTTTTTTTTCCCCATTGCATACTCTGTGATCTTAAAAATTTGTTTTCACATTTTTACTAATCAGCTTGCAAAATTAATTTTCAAACTCGTTTGTGAAATACAAAACCTCAAGTGAAGGTTTGAGAATAAGAAGGCACAGCTTTGAAGTATTTAACGAAAGGAGCTATGAGAAACTTTTTTTCTCATAGCGAATGGTTATGGTCTGGAATGTGTGGCCTGGGAGTAGAGTTGAGGAAGGTTCAAATGAGGCATTCAGAAGGGAATTAGACTTGTCATTTGAAGAGAAACAAATGTGCAGGATGACGGAGCAAAGACAGAGTTTTACAAAGTGAATTGCTCATTTGGAGAGCCAGTGCAGACACAATGAGTTGAAAAGCTTACTTATGCACTGTAACAACAACTGCTAAGATTATAGTATTGTGCAATTAATCAAATGTATTTTGCCAATCATGAAGTATTGAAGGATATGAATTCCAATATTGGGTGATAATGTCTAAAGTTTGTGGTTTTTGCACTAACTTGTGATTTGTAGCCGTAATTTTTTTTCCATTGCACACTCTGTGATCTGAAAAATTTGATTGTATATTTTTACTAATGAGCTTGTAAAATTAATTTTGAAGCTTGTTTGCGAAATGCAAAACTTTAAATGCTATTTTGAGGCACTGTAATAGACTGGGGAATAATATTTAATATTCTTTATTGCAAATTTCTTCCTGTTTCAGTCAGTTTCATATGCGCAGTTCCTTTATCCAACCAATGCCTTTGTCATGCCAAAAGCTCTGCCCGAGGTTCCAACTTCAATAGCACAGGTTCGCAACAGCATGCATCGGAGTTTTACACCAGGAAGACATGGAGCTGCCACAATAGCAATGGAATTAGGTAAAATCAAAATGGCATTCCACTATGATAGTATTTGGAAGGAAAGTATGCACAGTTGCAGTTTGGGAGTTTTACAATTTAACTGAATCTACTATTTAACAATTTTTTTCAGCATTTTAAGTTGACAGTGATAATGGGGCTTGCACAAGTATTCATATAAAGTTATTTTTGCAACCTGAACAATTAATATATTCTGTTCCTTTAAAATAAGAAAAGTCACATCTTGTATGACGACATAATGCTGCATATCTTGTATGTTTTTAATACAAATGTTAAACTCCTCTGCTAATGTCAGTTTGTTGTATCTGCACTGAAAGTTGATTTCCCCAAATCTTTATTTAAAATTGATTTTTTTCCCTCCTCCTACATGTGCCAGAATTTTGCATTAAGCACTTACCTGACCTACAGAAATTGGTGAATGCGGTGACCCACCCAAATCTGTAAAGACTAAACTTCATGAATGGCTCCCTTTTCTGCTTGTGATATTTGATTCCTTTGCAAACAGCATTTAGTGGCAAGACCCATAGAAGAGAGAGCTTTGAATTGCGCTGCTTGCTCTGTGTATTCTGAGCACAGCCATCACGGGAGTTGACTGCCTGCTAAATGACTTGAGATTTTTCTCTTGTCTGACATTTCGCTGTTAGTGTGGTTTACGCCGAAAGCCAAGTATTTTGGCAATGTTAAACACGTGTATAATGAGCATCTAAAAATAAAAGTCCAGTTTCAGGTCTCTGTTGTTTTCTGTCAACACTAGGTAGTGAAGCTGGAGATTTGATAGAGTATGATCCAAATCTTCTTGATGACCCCCAGTGGCCATGTGGAAAACACAAACGGGTTCTAATCTTTGCATCATATATGGTAAAAAAAAATTCTTTGAATATTCAGTTGTGTTCCAAATAAAGTTTTGTACTTCTAAGTCTAAAAGTGGAGACATACCACTTTTCTTTGATCCATTATGTGGCTTTTAAACATTTTTAAGTACAAATGTATATATTTCTGCTTTGGCTTGTTAAATACTAATTATTAAAGAACTCAAGGGGAAAACTACTGATCTGTATAGATTTAAAATGAAAAGTGATTTGTAATGTTGCATTTTTTGTTTTTAACCATATGTTTACTTACGGTAAACCCCAAATGTAGAATATCTCACAACTGACACTTGCCATAGTTCGTATAACAATCCTCAATAGTAAATGATGACTGTCTATTTCTTTTAGCCACAATTATTTCATTAGAGAAAATGTAATTCAGGATGTTAAAATCCAATGAAAGCAACTAAATGAACCTGCAAAGTGGGCTGAGAGCTGGCAGTTTTTATTTTACCAGTATTAGTACTTTAATTTGAACACTTACCCTTCAAGTTTTATTGATAAACAATGCCACAGTGGAGAAATGATGATACTGTTATTGAAGTCTTGAATGAAACATGAATTTTGTCTGTTTTGACAAATTCTGTATAGTGTACGCAAATAATATTTGTTCTCGTGTCTTGATGGGGACTTATAGTGACAAAGTGCCGAAATGCAATTGTTTTACTGTGGTAGAATACGGAATCACAAATGTTGCATGAAACCTGATCAGCTATGAGATATAAGTTGTACTAAGCTGATTGCATTTAATTTGAACGTATAGCTTAATGTATTAAAAATAGTTGTACCAAGGAAATCATTTTGTGAGGGGAAGTTTTTGTTAAAGCTTAGGCTTCAAAGGGCTAGTGATAATCTGGACTAGTCCTAGAGGAATTTGCTGGATATTTTCTTCCTCCTCACAAACTAGCCTGAATTTTTATCCAATTCTTCACTCCCAGTGGACTGGACTGGATTGGATTGAATTGAATTGAATCATTTATTGTCACAGGGATCACCTGGTTTTTGGAATATATATTTGGATTGTGTAGAACAGATGATGGTTTTGACCAGTGGGTTTTCCCTGTTAAGTCATTGTTTATACCTCTCGTGCTCACTATTGCTTTCTGTAATTCAGTGTAAGCATGCTTTAAAGAATGTACTTTTGAAATGGAGTAGTTTAGCTTGTAAGGGCTTTGTAGTACAGTGTGGCATCATTTTGTAATCCATTTAACGTCAAGTAACTTTTTCTTTAAAAATGTGCATTATTCACCATGAAATTATTACTGTTTCAATGAAGGGAAATAAACTTTGTTTTCCTTCATTTATGATGTATTTATTGGACAGTTATGAATTTATTTGAGATGATTTCCTGTAAAGGAAGAATGTTTAGCATTACAGGGAGAAGGCTAATTGCCCAAACTGAAAGCAGTAAGCTGCTCATATGTTTTGCCATCGTAGTTTATCTAGCTGTTGATTTGACAATCGAATTGTTTTGAAACTGATGAGAAACTATAAGCTAGAAATGATTTAGTATGTATTCTTTGGTATTTATATCAAGATCCCTCAAAGATTATTTAATTTTACATTCTTAAGGAGACCTGAAAACATTCAGTTGCTGCTCATATATGGTCATTTATTAGGCAAAATGCATTGTTTACCAATTACACATTTTTACCAATTCTCAGCAAAAGTTTATTGTTATGCACATGTAATATTGAATATTATACAGTAATTAAAACACTTCCATTTTGTATGATAGTGATTGGCTTCACAGAATTTTCTCTCTTTGTCAGACCACAGTGATTGAATATGTAAAACCATCTGACTTGAAAAAAGATATGAATGAAACGTTCAAGGAGAAATTTCCTCACATTAAGCTGACGCTTAGTAAGATACGAAGGTAAGTAAATCAAATTAAGAAAAATTGCACAGCTAATGACATTTTTAGTTACTTTCATACTCAAGATGATTTAAGGACAAATTTTACTTTCCTGCCGTCAATCTTAAAACATTTTATTTTTTCTTGCTGATTTTCTCCCATTTCCTGATTGTCTCAGAATCTGCTGGGTTATGGTTTCGCAGGTACCGAGTTTGCTCCAGTACTCATCTGAGCTGTGTCCTGTCTTCCAACATCTGCCTCAAGCATGTGTCTCTGAATTGTGAACTATTGTAGTAGCCTCAGCTATTCACCACCAGCAACTGTGTGCATGGAGTGATTTACCTGTAGGATCCCAAATAGCTTTTGTGTGACGCTTTTCCTTAATTGCTTTTAGGGGCATAAGGCGAGTAAATCTCAACATGTAGCTGAAAATTAAACTGATGAACTTTAAATTAATTTTATCAAAGCTATCAATAAAACACTGACTTTAAAATGCATCTACTGAAATTTGTTTGTCACTAGCCCTCTTGCTATCTACTATCAAAGGTAAAACCACTATACTGACTTTAGTAGTGTTTCTACTCGTAGTTGAAGCTATGTTTCTATTGAGGTAGTTGTCAACATGTTTGGTTAAATTTGTAATCACTGTTTCTATGCAGTGAATTAATGGCCCGTGGTCCATATGAACTTATTCCAGTTTTGATCACTACTGATCTATTAATATTCTCATTCTAGGTCTTTAGTGCATACAGAGGTAAATTTTGTCAGTTATGGTGTCTACTTGTAAAGTCAGCAATCCTGTTGGATGTCTATGAAACAGTCTTTATCATTCATACCAGAATAACCATCTGGTAAAGTTGTAACAGTAATTTTGGAGGGAAAATGTAACAATAATCACTTAATAGTTTGATATACTGCTGTTAACCATGATGTTAAAATCACCGAATGGTTTTACAATGCATTTTTTTGTTTCCTTTGCAGTCTGAAACGTGAAATGCGAAACCTGGCAGAAGAGTGTACTCTGGAACCTTGTACGGTGGCTTTATCATTTGTTTACTTTGAGAAGCTTGTACTCCAAGGCAAAGTCAATAAGCAAAACAGAAAGCTTTGCTCTGGTGCCTGCTTACTACTAGCAGCCAAAATCAGCAGTGATCTCAAGAAACATGAAGTCAGACATCTGATTGATGTGAGTATAATGCTTTGCATGAAGTTAACCAATTTTTCTTCATTATGGAATTCAAGCCTCAAAAATAGTTAGTTAAAAAGCACTGCTGGGGGGAGGAGGCCGCATTTCAAAAAAGTTATTCTGACATTAGTTGAACAAAAAGCATATATTAGTTTTGATTTTTAGAAGCATTCAAATAGTTATCCAGCTATACATAAAACTTGAGCTTGGTTATAATGTATCACTTGAATATTACCGACTGCGTTTTGATGCTTCGGTCTTTCACATCAACATAAAAACATTGTGGACATGGTCTTAACACCGTATCAATATAATTTTCAGCATAGCTCTAAATTAATGGGGACACCTAACAGTTGAAGGTCATACCTGAACGTTCTGACCTAAAACACTCTTAACCTTAATGCTTTTTGTACCCAATGGCGCAATATTTGGCTGATACTAAAGTTTGCAATTTTTAAAATCATTTTTGCTTGGTTATTTTACTGTTTATGACCACTGGTGTTGCTACTGTGGTGTTGAAATCTCTCCAAGAAAAATTACTTTCTGCTGGTGTCAGTGAAATTAGTGGAGGGGGTCCAATCTTTCTTAGTTAGATGGAAAGAGGAAGGAAGGGAGACAGATGCTCCCTTGATGACTTTGCTTCTAATTGGGCTCTGCCCAGAACATGTTAAAACCACACACTTTGACTGGTCACATGGTCTCTTTCCAATTGTCAGGAACTGAAACTTCATTCTATATTCCAAGTACAACTCAATTAGCCAGGAAAAAAAATCCCAAAGAACTGCAGATGCTGGAAGTTAGAAACAAAAACAGGAATTGCTGGGAAAACTCAGCAAATCTGGCAGCATCAGTAAAGAGAAAGTAGAGTTAATGTTTCAGGTCCAGTGATCCTCCTTCAGAGCTAAAGGTCTGAAGAGTCTTCACTGGACTTGAAACATTTACTCTGCTTTCTTTCCATAGATGCTGCCAGACTTGCTGAGTTTTCCCAGCAATTTCTGCTTTTGTTTGCAACTCGGTCTTAAAAATCAAAGCCTTTTTGACCAAGCAATTAACCTTCAGATGTTCATCTACCCCTGCTCAATGTTGTGGATTGCTTCCAATGATATCTTGTCAATAGCAAATGAAGGAAGGTCTTTCATGGTTCTTTGGCTCTGTAAGGGTCATTGTCTTTGAGTTTTAAAGACTCTCCTTGGGGTTAGAAGGAGAACTGCATGTAGTATTGCAAAATAGTATCGGCCGTCTTTTATCTAGCTTGGAATCACTTAAGATAACAGTGAGGAGCTGCAGGCCAGGCAGCATTAGAAGAGCAGGAAAGCTGACGTTTCGGGTCGGGACCCTTCCTCAGAAATGGGGGGAGGGGGAAGGGGCTCTGAAATAAGTAGAGAGAGGGGTGGTCGGGCTGGGGAAGATAGGTGGGATGGTGGTAGGTGAGTGCAGGTAGGCAGTGGTGGGGATTGGGGATAATCACTTGATCTGCTTCAGTAGGGATGCATTTTTCATCAATGCTATTGCTAAGTAGACCAATGAGTCGCAAAAAAATAGTGCTTTGTCACTGTCAAAAATTACATCCACTGATGTGGTTACATATTTTTCTGAATTTGTTAACGTTTAACATGAAGGACGTTCATGATCAATATAATGAATAATTGTTGTTAATATGGATTTTGATGAGAAAAGTAGGCATGCAATTGAACAAAGTGTAGTGATCCCTTAAATGTAAGGGAAGTTCACTGTTGCAAATTATCAGCTGTTCCTCTGAATGACAAACCATTCCAGTCAAGTAGAATTTACAAATTATGAACAAATACTGCACGGAAATCTGAGTGAAGCTCAGCTAGTATTTATGCTGATGTCATCACTCACCACTGTCGTGACCTACCGTGCACGTGTTGAGGCCAACTGGCGCAACAGGTTCCTGTCCTGACTGAACGATGACATGGGCGTCATCAGGATGGCTCTCGGTGACCATCTTTAATAGTGGTCTACAATGGGAAAATGCACACTGTTCAAAAAAAATCCTGTAAAAGTCCAATCCCTGTTTCCAGAAAATGAATTAAAAGTCAACATATTGCTGGAGAAACACTGCAGTTCTGTGAAGAGAAAGCAGAGTCCAGTGACCCTTCTCCAGAACACCGTTCCTAGTTTATTAACTAAAAATCAATTATTGGTATATGCACATTTTCTAAAAGCACAGATTAAAAATTGCTTACATATATAACAAATAATAAACTCTAAAAGGATTGTAATTTTTTTTCCCAATTGTCAGAAAAAAAGTGAACTCTGTACTATTAGAATTTCTAGTTGGTACTTTGTGCTTTTCCTGCACCTCCTAAATTTGACTGGTCAGATTTCTTGATTCAGTTTAAATGCATCAATGGTTTCATGTATTCGTCAACATATTAAAGTGTACTTATCAAAAGTTGTCTCTTTTAACAAAAAATGTGTCTTTTAACTGATGTCTGGCGCAGTTTGGTCTATTTTTATAATTTCTTAATTAGCTTTCTTTTTTAATCCTTGCACGTAGAAACTGGAAGAACGGTTAAGATTGAACTCAAAAGAGCTGGTTTCGTTTGAGTTCACCACACTTGTGGCTTTGGAGTTTGGCCTTTATCTTCCTGAGAAAAAAGTGTTACCTCACTACAGGCGACTTGTTCAGCAATCCTAAATGCAATTACATTCCTACTGAAGATGACATGCACTTGGAAGAAGCAAGCAGTTCTTCCTGAAATGCTACACTCTTGAATCGTGATTCTCTTCTGTTAGCATAGGAAGTATTGTACCAAAGTAACTTCTATAGTGCTAATTAATAACAGTTGCCGATTTTGTCCAATTTTTTCAAAACTGATTTGTGCCACCTTTTTTAAATTAAAGCACCTTTACCCAAAATTGGATGAACCTTGTAAAGGAATATGTTTGAGTGATGGCCTGTCACATGAACAATGGCAAGTTATAGTAATTACTATTACCAAAAATTCATTTACTGGGCAACAGCACTTGCCTACATGTTGGCTTGTCGTTGCCAAAATATCAAGTTCTATGCTATCTGTTCTTCCAACAATTGTCCTACTGTACCTATAAAACTGACTCTGCTGTTAGTTGCACATATGTCAGCACTCTATGTTAGAGATTCAAACGAAGCACATTTTATAGTGCTATGCAGTCTATATTTAAACTATTTTGCATTTTCTGTTTTCACTGTGTAGTATGTTAAACGTATGCAGTCTTTGGTGAAAACATGTTCCTTTCAGTCATCATCTTTGCAGAATGAAATGTTTAAAAATAACTCTCCTCTCTTTTTACTTGTTTTATTGTGAAATTGTTAACCTTATCAATGAGGTGCTGGTTAGCAGATGCACTTAATGACTCTTATTACAGCTTGTATGTTGAAAAGTCCTGTTGAAATTCATCTTTTAGTTTCCTCTTTAAGCAGAGAATGCCAGCTTTGGCGATTATTTAATATTTAAATATCAAATGTCTTGTCTTTTTTTAAAAGAGAGTTTACATTCAGCTTTAAAATGTTATGTTCTGTCAGTTTCTTCTGAGGTTACTGTTAGTAATAGCAACAGGGAATGTTGGAAACTCTCTCAGATCAGGCAGCATATGTAGAATAAGGAAGACAGTTAGTATTTCAGATTGGAGACCTTTCATCAGAGCCATGGACTTGAAATTTAAATGTAGCTTCCTACCTCTAGTGCTGCCTGACCTGCTGTTTAACATTATCTGCTTATTTCAAGTATGAGCAGTGTTGTTGCTTTTTGGGTTTTTTTTTTTGTTAAATGTACTTACTTCACAGTGTGAAGCTACTTCAGGTATTGATAGTGGAACCAACAATGAGCAAATTATGATGCTCGCATATAATGCCACTTTTTTGTGAAATATGGATCAGTCAACAATTTCAAAAACTGTGAAAAGAGCACAATACCATGAGTTTCTGTTCTGTTTTCATTGACTGTTGAATTTGTTTGTCTTTTATATAAAAAAATGAAAAAGATCATTCAACAATTTAAGCCTGTTCAGCTATTCAATAATTCATGGCTGATCTGTACCTCAACTTCCGTTGCCTGCCTTTACTTCATGTCAAATGATGACCTTTACCTAACAAAAGTCCATCCATTTCAACTTTGAAAACAGCTCATCATCTAATCTTTTGACAACTTCCAGACTTCCACCACCCTTATAAATTGTGTTATATGCAAACATCTTGCTCTAATTTTAAAGTGATGTCCCCTGGATTTTCAATTTATTTTATTAATTAAATGCCTTGATTAGGTGACCATTCAAACTTCTAATCACAAATGATTACAAACTGAACAGTCTTGATGGTTTAACCCTTTAAACCCTGGTTCTACTTTATAGTGTGCTGTACATTCTCTGCAGTTCAGACATCTTTCCTGAGATGCAGTACTGAAAGTCAACACAGTATTCTAGGTGGTATCTAACCAAGGGTTTGTATTGCTGATTCGTTTTTTTTTTATTTCAACTGCCATGAGATAAAGCCACATTCCATTAAGCTTTTGAACACCTTCTGCACTAGCTTTTAGTGTACATGAACACCTCAATGCCTTTACTCGTCCACAACTCTCATGGCCCCCTCAACTGGGAGTATTCCATCTGCAGTAGTTTACTACACTTTTTGAATTTAGGCTTCATTTTATACATTTCTTCTATTTCCCATTTGTTCTATTTTAATTGAAATTGATTATTTTGCTACATGGGTGCTGCAAGCAGATTTGTTTATAAAGTAATATGCTCATTTATTTATTTATAATATATAATAGAAAAGTGGGGAACTGGTTGTTCCTGTAATGGTACTTGTCTTTCTCAATTTTGTTTTAGGTAAACGGGAAGCCTTCTGGGTAATTCTAAATAGTCTGTCTTTCTACTGTCTCATTGCACAAGTAACTTTGTCTAGAGACTTAAAAGCTTCTGTATTATAAAGTTTATGCATATTTTTATTCATTTTGTATTAGTGGAACTTCAAAACTTCAAGTAAATTTTTTGATTTTCATATACTCGGGTCTGTGGTCACTTTCTCACATCTGATGGAGAGGATTTTCCAATAGTAGAACTAAAAAAAAATCTGTTGCTGGAGGTGTTAAATGTTAGATTTGATCAAACTATTTTGTCGAAGGGTACATTGTTGTAAATAATCTTGTTAATGTTTTTGGGCCTGTGCACTACTCCAACAAATGACTTTTTGCCTTTCCCCGTCTGTTGTGCCAATATCATCATTAACTAACAGAGTCACCCTTTCCTAGTTACCTGACATTCCAAAATATTCTATACCCTTCAAAAATCCATGACATCCTGAAGCCATATTTCTGTATTGGCTGCCAGATTGTACTCCATTTCTGCTGTATTCTCAGTTCACCTGTTTAGTTTTGAATAGTCAGTGCATTCAAAAGTCTTCAGTTTTACCTTTTGTAAATTCTAGACTTACCTGTTAGTTAACTCTTCATTTGTGCTCTCTAATCTCTCCTGCCACAGTCTATTTATCGTTTCTCATATAAATGGCTTTGTCCTTGGTCTTGACTTTGCAATTTGATTTACCATGTCCTCCTAAATTTGATTCTGTTCTCACTATTTAGTTTAGTATCCTCTCTCCTTCCCCAATCGTGAAGTTGGCAAGAACGCTGACTCCAGTATGGTTTAGACAGAGCACGCTTCTAGTACAATATATTCCGATACCAAAAATGGAGCAAGCTCATTTAGAAAAGTAGACAATCTATGGGCCTGGAGTAACGTGTAGGCCAGACCGGGTAAGGACAGCAGTTTCCTTCCCTAAAGGACATTAATGAACCAGACGATTTTTTTCCCCCAACAGTCAGCAATGGTCATCATTAGAGTCTTAATTCCAAATTTTTATTGAATTCAGATTCCATTATCTGCCATTGTGGCATTCAAATGCATGTCCCCAGAAGTTGGTCTGTAGATAAATAGTCCAGTGATTCTACTAGGCCATGGCCTGTCCTGAGAATTTAATGACAATTAAAGCTCATTGCAAGGTAAGGTACATAGAAATGAGCAAAAAGCAAATTCCTTCACCGAAATAATCGTAGATGTTGGACTAATCATAGGATTAGGATAGCTTTAGGGTACCAGGAGAGCTGTCAGCTTCAAATGATTTATCATATTTGCATCTAAATGTGTTATGCGAACAGGTTGATTAGGAAATAGCTGCATGTTGTGACACAGCTCAATCTTTAAGGGTGATAGAGGTGGGAATACTCGAATTTTAAAAATTATTTTTGAGATGAGCACTGGAAATGCTATTGCATACAAGGCTATGGGTCCCAGGAGGACCATGTTCAAGTCCCACCTGCTTCACAAGTGTGAAAAAACATCTCTGAACAGGTTGATTAGAAAATTAACTACAACATGTTTAGAGATAGAATCAAAAAGGCCGTTTGGTCTGCCCATCATCAAGCAGCTGTCTCATTTAATCCCATTTCCCAGCACTTGGCCCATAGCTTCATAGACATTTTCTAATCAACCTGTTCAAATATGGTTTTTGACACTTCTGGAGCAGCTGGGTAACGAAGCGGCCCTCCTGATCCAGAAGTAGACACTACTAGTGGACCACCCACTTAAGTTGTTGGTGGAATTAAAATTTAATTCATTCAGGGCACTTGTGTGATGCTAGTGTCCCTGCCAGGAGGCCCAGATTTAAGTCCCACCTGCCCCAGAGGTGTCTTAATAACATCTCTGAACAGGTTGACTAGAAAATACCTTAAAAGGCACAAAGTAGTCGAGGCTGACAGCTGGAAAGGTGGATCTCCAGCTTCTGCTTTGCCCCTCAGCGCGTGCGCAGCATGGCCAAAGGGGCGGGGCACGATGGCCAGCACGCCCCCGGAAGCGGTGCCAACATGACGACATTGCCGCTGGCGGCGACTCCCCTTTCTCTTTTCGGCGGCGTCCGTTCCGATCGCAGGGTGAGTGTGCCCAGCTCTTGGGGATACGGCGTTTCAGCGGGGCTCCGATGGGGTGAGGATCGTGGCCCCATTGTTGAGAGCTCCCACTGGGCCTCGGGCTGGTGGGGAAGGCGGGGGGGGGGCGGTGGTAAGAGTGCTCGCCGCCTGATGAGGCGGTGAAGAGGAAGCTGCCGCGTGTGTGTGGAGTGGGCCTCAGGCTCTGAGCCCGGGCCTTGGAGAGGGCACACTCTTGTTCACAAGGAACCGCTACAACCTGCAGTTTAAAAAAAACATCCAGATAGTGTTGGAGATGCTTAACGATTTTATGATATTATCTGTGAGGAGAGAGAAATACCGAGACGATTTCGAAATACTGCAGGCACCCCACACAAATTAGCAAAAAGCACACTTCATCATTCAAATAATTATAAGTATTCACAAGAATTAATACAGCAACAGATGGGAAAAAAAACTGTTGGACATACTCGTGATGTAGTGGGATATCAGGCGAGCTGAGTTTGAATGTGTGAACGTTTTAGAGAAAGTGCACCAAGTCCCTTTGTGTTCAGGCTTTCTGTAGTTTTTCTCCATTTAAATAATACCGTCCTTTTGTTCTAGCTTCCAAAATAAACAACTTCACATTGTTCCACATTATATTCTCATTTGCCAACATTTAGCCCATTAACCTATCACTGTATTCGTGTTGTGTGCAAATTTGGCTATAATACCTTCACTTCCTTCCTCCAAGCCATTAGCATATTATTAACAGTTGCAGTCCCAGCACTGATCCCTGTGGAACCCCACTGGTTACGGGTTATCAACCTTGGGGAGGATAAAAAACCCTTATTTGCATTCACTGTTTCCTACCCTTTAGCCAAATCAGTATCCATGCCAATATACTACCTCCAACGACATGAGCTATTATAACGTTATCTTTTGTGGGGTACCTTGTTGAATGCATTCTGGAAGTCCAAATACAAACATATTTACAGGTTCCTCTCTGCACACTGAATGAGACTTCCTCAAAACTCTAACTCTAACAGACACTATTTCCTTTTCATGAAGCCATGGTGACTTTGCTTGATTGGATTGATTTTACAAATGTGTTGCTACTAGTTATTAAATTGATTCCAACAACAGATGTTAGGTTAATCCACTTGATTTTTCCCTCCTTTTTGGGGTGTCACGTTGGCAGTTTTCCAAATCTCTGATACTTCTCCAGAATCCAAGGATTGTTGACAAACTTAATCCTTTCCCCACATTCTTTAGTATTAATGGAATGTTTGTGGTATCTTCCACCATAAAGACTATGCAAAATCAGTCGGGGTGGCACAGTGGTTAGCACTGCTGCGTCACAGTGCCAGGTACCTGGATTCGATTCCACTTTCGGGCGACTGTCTGTAAGAATGTTGCACATTCTCCCCGTGTCTGCGTGGGTTTCCTCTGGGTGCTCCCACAGTCCAAAGATGTGCAGGCTCGGTGAATTGACCGTGGTAAATTGCCCATACGGTTCAGGGATGTGTAGATTAGGTGGGTTATAGGGAAATGGGTCTGGGTGGGATGCTCTGAGGGTCGGTGTGGACTTGGACTGCGGGGCCTGTTTCCACACTGTAGGGATTCTGTGATCTATGATGAAAATATCTGTTTAACTCCTCTGCTATTTCTTGGATTCCACATGCTGAAAGCAGCAGAGGCTTCATTGCCATCTCAGAATTAACTGTGTGTACCCAATTACTGTTTCAGCATTCTTCAAATGTCTTTTACGTGTACTTTTGTGGGGGAAAAAACTGAAGCTGAGATTTGATTGAAACATTTGAGTTTCTTTAGTCTTTTAATATTATTTTAAGCAAACGTACTTCCTCCATTGGAGGGTTGTTCTCTGTTTGAAATTTTTTCTGATTCTGTCTTGAGAACTCCAGTTAATATTCCAAGTGCTAACTGAGGAAAAGAATGCATTGTTGCCTGTTCAGTCTGAAGTTTACTGTTGAAGAGTGGGGAAATCCGTTTGTGTGTTTTTTTTGAATTTCTGTTGGTAAGATTGTTCTAATAGCAGTTGGAGCATATAGCTCCTTATAAACATTCAGCACTAATAAATTGCTGATCAATCATAAGCAAATGCCCAAGCTCACGAGTTGTCAGAGAACACTGTCTTCTCACATCCTTCTTGAGCTGCCTGTAAGCCTTTACTGTAATCATGTCACTCTTCCATTTCTAGCTACCCTTGTGTGGTTTACTTTCGCCTACCCAATTGTGGCCACAGAATCTCCTGCAATGCTTTTCCACCTCAAGATTATCTCTGTAATCCATCCTTGGACCACTCTAGTCTCTTACTAAGGTGCTAACCTCAAAAACACAATCTGAAAAGCCAATGCACATACATGATGAAGACGGCAACTTCACCACAAATTGCCCTCAACCAATCCTGGCACTATGTCTCAGAGAGCTGGTCCTTGTACCGTTTTGCATGAGCCAAAATCTCCCTGAAATAAGCATGGGGAAGACCTAAAGCTAATGTCCCAATTGAAAACCCTTAATAACATATTTGACCCTGACAAAATAGCCTCGTTCCACCTCTGTAACATCACCTGTCTTTGCATGTGTGTTGGCCTATCTTCTGAAACTCTTCCACAATGTTGTTACTACAAGGGATCCCTGACTTAAGAATGCAATCTCATTCATGGATGTAATTTTCAGGATCCGACATTTGAGCGTTTCCTACTTACGAATGGCTCCTTTATATTGTCCTGAAATTTGTTCCAATTTCTGTACAAATCAACTTGCAGATGTTGCAACCTGGAGCCTGCCTGTGCTAGAAACAACCTTTGCAGGGCTCTGGTCTCTTCCATCATCAATAAACTTCACATTAGCCACGACACTGCTGCCTTTATTCTAATTCTCACCAACTCCTGTTTGCTCTTTGACCCAGTGCTTCCTTTCCTAAATCACCAGTGTTTGAGAGAGCAAATGTTCTGAGGGTAATATTGTCAATCTCCTATCCAATTCACTCACGCTATGGCCTCTGCCAGTGGATAAACTCTTTGACCCCCCTCTGGTACTAAATATTCGATGTCAAAATCCCAAATGACATCAGCTGTGACT